TCAGCGTGAAGAAGAGGAGGGCGAGTCCTGTCAGGAAGCTGAGGCTGCGGTGATAGGGGGGGTTTCGTTGTAGGGTTCGGAGGAGAGCGCCTGTCGTGTAGCCAGTTCTTGTCGGCGTTGCTGTTAACTCTCTTGTCAAATTATTTTTTTCGTTCTCGCTACTCCACGTTGAGTTTGAAATGTCAGGTGAGTGGCGGGGGGGGGGTTCTCTGTTGGGTCTAAAATCTGCTCACAAACTCCCAAGGGATTTCAGTCACAGAGGCTGGCAGTCCTCATAAATCCGCTCTGTTTTCCGTGGTGCCAATAGCTTTGTTTAGTACGAAGTCTGTCAAGTCCTGTGGAACTGCTTTCCATCAGAAAATTGCTTCCTTTCTATATGGCCATATTGCATAAAGTCAGTGGTGGTTTTGACTATCTGGGAAGCTGTAAAGCCAGGACACAACAATATTGCAGGTTGTAATTTCTGTCATGCTTAAGTGGCTGGTTTAGTCCATAACAAAAGATGACGCTGCTGTTTTCTATGTTGGAATTGTAAATGTAAGATATTGATGTCGCTGCTGGGAAAGTTGTTTTTTCTGTATGCCGCATTCGGTTTGGCTAACCTAGCTCTGTGGCAGGAAATGCAAAGGAAGAACAAAGAAAACCACAGTGCTTGTTTCTAACAAAAAGCCCGCTGACCAGATCTTGTTCTATTTGTTGGCTTTTATGATGTTCCTCCTGATCACTCTTTCACATTGACAGCTGTCATTGTAAAAGGAAATGAGAATACCTCCTGCCTCTGCCAGTGCAGTTGAACAGAGTGATAAATCCCACTAAGGAAGTTTGTGCAAAACTCCAGAGCAATAGAAAGGTTTCCATTGCTCTTAATACAGCTTTAGGGGTTTGGGGTTTTTATTGGTTTCATTTTGAATCTGGAGAATACCTGTGATTATGAAGTCTATTGTACATACTATGCTAAATTTTGTTTTCTAAAGTTATTTGATGTTTTATTAGTTGTTTGCATGTTTTCTTTTCTTCTGAGGGAAAAATGTGATCTCTGATTACAGTTGGAGGTACATGGGCTTCCTAGTAGTGTTTGCTTTCAAGGGTAGGAGAAGTATCAATGCATGCAAGATAATTAGAGCAGTTAGTATGTCATTTTTTATATCTACCTCCACTTTTTTCTCAATGGTCCATTCGGAGAACAGCAACTATATATGCACATAGCTGTCTTAAAATATCAGTAAACGTGTTTACCACCAGGATTATAATACAGTGGTTTATTTTTAATAATTAAATTGAGGTGCATCTTTTGCCTTTCAGATTAAAGAGCAAAAGGTTGTAGTCGATGAGCTTTCTAATTTGAAGAAGAACCGGGTAAGTATTCACAACTTTGCTTTTGACTGTTTCATTTTAGGATCAGAGAACTAAGCATAGAGACCAGAGAGGAAACAAAATCAGAGTACACTGTCTTTAATTTGTTTTAATACAGGTTTTAGTGCAGTTGTGGTCTGCTGTTCTCAGAATAATTTGTCCTCCAAATGAGTGTAACACAGTACATTGTTGATTTTTTTTTTGCCTTTATGTTTTTATCTGAGTTATTTCATTAAGATGTTTGAGTTGATCAGAAGACTTCCTGAAGTGTTCTTAATTTTCCTGTGAATGTGTTTTAAAATAGAATATGATCCTTCACGTATGAGGAAAAGAGAAATGCAGAATACTCATGGGTTGATCATTAAATGTTTTTGATGGTACATTACAACGTTGGTGTTGTCAGGGCAGAACTTACCCTTCTGGAATAAAAGCGAAGGCGTATCTTGGTGGACCTACATCAGCTTCTGCTGCAGTGTGGTCACCAGAGTTTGTTGTTTTGACTTAATGCAGTGTTGTTTTTGTTTTACAGAAAGTTTATAGGCAGCAACCCAATAGCAACATTTTCTTCCTTGTAGACCGAACCGAAATGCTATCTCAATGCAAAAGTAAGTTTGCAGTGTAAAAGTTGATCAAATAGTTAACCATTTAAAAGCTGCATTTATATCTGTTAATGATTTCAAAGGTATATTAAAATTAAAAACTAGCAACTGTATATCAGATGCAAAGTAGATTTCAGACACATGCTTATCTTTCTGGGTTGGCTAAATGTGGAAGTGTTTCCACTTGTTGTGGTTTAACCCCAGCTGGCAAGTAAGTACCACACAGCCATTTCCTCACTTCCCCCCGCCGCCCTGCCCCCCCATCCTGGTGGGATGCAGAGGAGGATTGGAAAAACGTAAAACCCCTGGGCTGAGATAAGAACAGTTTAATAACTCAAATAAAATAAAAAATGTAATAATAATAATTGTAATGAAAAGGGAGATAATGAGAGAGAGAGAGGGGAATAAAACCCAGGAAAACAAGTGATGCACAATACAGTTGCTTACCACCTGCTGATGGATGCCCAGCCAGTTCCTGAGCAGCGGTTGACCCCTCCTGGCCAACTCCCCCCAGTTTATATACTGGGCATGACGTTCTATGGTATGGAGTATCCCTTTGGCTGGTTTGGGTCAGCTGTCCTGGCTGTGCTCCCTCCCAGCTCCTTGCTGGCAGAGCATGGGGAACTGAGGAGTCCATGTCTTACAGTAGGCAGTACTTGGCAAGAACTAAAACATCAGTGTGTTATCAACATTACTCTCTTACTAAATCCAAAAGACAGCACTGTACCAGCTACTAGGAAGAAAATTAACTCTATTCCAGCCGAAACCAGGACATATTGTATGTATGGATATGATAAAAGAGCAAGTTCTGAAGATGTAGGAAGAGTGAGAATGTCTGCCCCACAAAGAAGTCACTGTTGTCAGTGTTCTTTGGGAAGCTGTATAGTGCTGTGTCCGTAAAAAAAAAGGTCTAAAAGTTGTATGGGATGAGTAGGAAGAAAATAGTGACAAGTTAAACTGTAGGCTAAACTAGAAACCTTCAGGTAGTTGAAGGAATGGATCTGTGGGATTAGGGACATAGGAGAATGGATGATAAAAGAGAGTTGATGATTGAACAAACATTAGAAATGTGTAAATTTAGAAGTATAAATTTATTTTCTGGAATGAACAGTTGCTACTTTCATTTTCTTTCCTTTGAGTTAATAGTGTCGACATTTTAATGGACAGTTTACTTTTCTCGTTACAAATGTGTAAATCATACTGATTATATAGGCAATAGTTGACCATTCCCTTAACTCTTATGCTTGTAGTGTGGCTTTTTTGGGGAGAAAAAAAAATCATAAATCTTTGTATAATACAATTAAAGAGGAATAAGCTAGTGAGCTATGTTTGTGTTACATCAATGCTATAGCACTTTTGTAATTTAGTGTTGCATGTTTATCTCTTTAATTGAACAAGTGGCTGGAGTTGCTGTTTTCTTAGATGTACTCTTAAACTTATCTACTTACAGACTCACTCATAAACTTACCTGTTTATGAAACTGATTATTTGTGTATTTTTCTCTTACACAGATACATTAGATGAATTAAAGAAGGCACATCAAGAGATGGAAAATTCAGAAAATACTAAAGTCAAGAAATAATCCATCCGAATTCAGAGTCACGATGTGCGGTATTTGTTGCGTTGTTACCTTGTGTAGCCAGCATACTATTCATGATTTCTTTAACAAAGACATACTGTGCCGTCTTAGAAGAAGAGGACCAGACAGTAGCCAACAGTTGATAAAGACTGCATCTGATCTCTCTTATGGGTGTCTGTTTTCTGGCCATGTACTTCACTTGAGGGGACGGATGACTCCTCAGCCTCTAGAAGATGCCAATAACAATATTTTTCTTTGGAATGGAGAAATTTTCAATGGAGTGCATGTAGGAGATCTAGAGAATGACACTGAAGTAATGTTTCATCATCTTGCATTATGCAGTAGTGAAGCGGACATTTTGTCACTCTTTTCATCGCTTCGGGGTCCGTGGTCTTTTATTTATTATCAAGCATCTAGACACAGTTTATGGTTTGGTAGAGATTATTTTGGTCGTCGTAGTTTGCTTTGGCAGTTCAGTAATGAGGTTGACCGTGCTTTCTGTCTCACATCTGTAAGTGTTTATTCTGAATCAGGTAACCAATGGCAAGAAGTCCCAGCATCTGGAATTTTCAAAATTGATCTCAAAGCTTGTGCAAGAACTAAATCTTTATCTTTAACATTGTTTCCATGGAAGTACAGCTGCACAGAGAAAGCAGTAGAAGAAATATTCGTTAATGTTCTGGACCAAGTTTCAAAAGACTTACCAAATCGCATACCTCTTGTGATGAATGAATCAAAACTATGCCTCAGAGCACCAGTTACTCCCTTAAATAAAACTATTTCTGAAGATTCGGGTGAATATCCAGGCACTACTATTAGCAGCGTTACCCATGTGGTTTCTGTGGAAACCCTTCAAGGATTTCTTGCAGAGGAACACAAGAAAAAATTAGTCCATCAGTTTATTGATGTTTTAAATGAAGCGGTGAAGAGACGGGTTTTATCCCTCTTCAGAGACGAAGATCAGAAAACAAGAGATGTTCCAAGCATGTCTAATAGGAAAGCACATGTTGCGGTGCTCTTTTCTGGTGGCGTTGATTCTATGGTTATTGCAGCTCTTGCTGATAAACACGTGCCTTTAGGGGAACCAATTGATCTTCTCAACGTAGCTTTCATGATAAAAGAACAAGCTAAGCAAAAGGGTACCACTCAAAAACATACCAACCGGGAAGTACAGCTTGATTCACTTTGTCAAGAAAGTTGTAAAGATCTTCATGCTAAAACTGCTGCTCATTTATCTTGCTTTGCTGTTCCCGACAGAATCACTGGTAGGGCAGGACTGAAAGAATTAGAAGCAATTAACCCTTCAAGAACGTGGAACTTTGTGGAAATCAATGTTACACTAGAGGAACTGAAAAAAATGAGACAACAATGCATTAATCACTTAATTTATCCACTAGATACAGTCTTGGATGACAGCATTGGCTGTGCAATTTGGTTTGCTTCCAGAGGAGAGGGGTTTATTAGTAACCAAGGAGAACTGAAACCATATAGAAGTCCAGCAAAGGTACTGATTGTTTCCTGCCTTATGTTTGACCTGTGAATGTAAAAACAATTCTGTTGTTTCAGAAATCAGCAGGGGTCTTTAATATTCATAAGGCTTCTGAAATTCAGTGACAGAATATAGAATATTTCTGTACTGATAATCTTTGTATAATTCTGGAGTTAAAAACCGCATTGTTTTCTTTTGTCATGTAATGTGTGTGGCTTTTCCTTAAGGTTGAATAAGCAACAGTGTGACTAGGAAAAAAGTAACAACAATCATCTATCATTTTCAGTGTTTCAACTCCAGTAGTGGGTAACTGCTATTCAATCCAAACTGAATAGGTTAACAAATTTAAGGATAAACATTAATGAAGTATTAAGTAATGTTGTTTTGTGCCACCATCCCAAGGGCTGCAAAATTACTAGCTTGTTACTTAGGCACACTATGTGACAAAATCACAATTAATAATGGCAAAAAAGATGACTACTTGGAACCTTTTGTAATTAGAGTCTGATTGAATGATAGAACTTCAAAAAGTAGTTCGTTCTTTTTTGTCACTAATTTTCATTTATGTCGTTTTAAGTAAAATCTTTTTAGTAACTAGGTGATTTTCTTGGCAATTCAGTTCTTATTTCTCACTTCCCAATTCCTGATGGTTTGTGTAGAGAAGAATAAACTGTTTAATTTCAGGAGTTTGCAGTTCACTGCTGCTTTTTGAGGCTTCTATTACTTTTCTACTAATTGCTAGATCTTAAAGACACAAAAAAATCCAGCAACAACAAAAACCCCAACAAACACAATAGTTTGCGTAAAAGCTACTGCTGTATAATGCAGTTGATGTAGTTGACTGATCTACTTAAGGATGTGCATCTCAGATTTGTAAAACATACAAACTTATCTTAGGTTTAGAATGTGTTGAAATGGGTCATAAGTTAATTATACATAAAGCGAAATTGTCCTTGTCCCATCAGTTACTTACTAGTGGGCACAAGTAAAAAATTAGTTGACCAGCAGCTGGTGTCAGATTAGTAAAACACACTTGACTGTTCATGTTAAGAGACTTCCACTTTTATAGTGAGTTGCTGTTGAAGGCACAGTAGTGGACCAGATGTAGTAGTGTTTTGCTCTTAATAACATTTTCTGTGCTTATGGAGTAGACAGAACAATACAACACATTTTTTTTCTTGTACAATGCAGTTGTTATTAACCCAGTAGCTGGTAAATTAATAATAATGTGGGTGTACATTCAGATGACTGTGTAGAACCTATGACATACTGCGTAATCTGTGGCAACAATTTTTTCGATAAAGGCTGGTGCCTAACAAATGCTGTTTATTGTAATAGAAAGTAACAAAGTCATTCTTCAAAGATACTGGTGTATTTGTGATGCACACAACATGATTTTAGTGTTTTTTCCTTCCCTCACTAGAGATGTCTATGTGTACTTTTCAGTCTGATTGTGAACCTCCTTCAGTTTTGAGTGACTTTATTTGGAACTGTTTCAGGCTCTGTAAATGTGTAAGGTACATCCCATCATGATAGGTGATATATTTAGAAGATGTGTATTAAAGTTATTCTCCTTAAAATGTAGTTCAACATTTAAGATCTGTTACATATTATTAGCTTGCATAGATACTAAGAAAGATTTCTTTTATCCTGTTTTCTTAGGTTGTACTTACAGGAATTGGAGCAGATGAACAGCTTGCTGGGTATTCTCGACATCGCGTTTGCTTCAAAAAATACGGCTTAGAGGGTCTGAATAAAGAACTTGAAATGGAGTTGAATCGCATTTCTTCTAGAAATCTTGGTAGAGATGACAGGATTATTGGTGATCATGGAAAAGAAGCCAGGTATCATTGTTTTTAACATGAAGCAAAACTGGTTTTGCCAGTTAGATTCTGCTTTTAACACTCCAACAGAAAGCTTAATTGAAGCTTCTATGTATTTTATTGTCTCAAGTTCTGTTGTGGTTTTGTTAATGTGTACTGTGTTGTGGGGTTTTTTTGTTTTTTAAAAAGTGGCCTGTAGTACTGTGGAAGAGTTACTTAAGGAAGTTTAGCAACTTGAACATTGGATTTCTGTCTAGCAGTTTTAAGAAGCAGCAACAGGTGTTGAAATAGGCAAACTCAAGTTGTTTTTATAATTTGAAGTGGAATTTTTAAGTCTTCTGCACAACTTTGAAGTCTGCTCATGTGGTCATTTGGGGAGTGACTTTGGAGAATGGCAACATAACATAGAAGCCACATATTCCTGTCTATGCAGTAAAGACATGATCCATATCCTCTGCATTTCCTGGTTGTTAAGTCAGAATAGTTAAATAATCATTTTATTTGTGTTTACTTCCTCCATGCTCCCACCAACTTGCAAAAAATTGCTTAGATGTCCAGTAGCAGAAGCTACTCGGGTGCATGAAAGATCTTTTCATGTGATCTTTGTGCCAGTGTTTCTTGAAATCTGTTCTTAGTTGCGCATTTTCAGTTCAGCAAAAAAACAGTTGCAGTGGTGAACAGGCAATGCTGTTAATCATGCATGTGATTAGATATGAATGCCTGGAATTCGGAATGTTGTCAGATTTTGTTGTGTAAATATTTGTGTTTCAAAGTTAGTGTTTCTAAATACTTAGATGTTATCTTGAGAAGTGGTAGTTTAAAATTTGTCTTGCTCTTCCATTGTGTTTTCTGATTTTCTTCATAATTTTTGTATGAATCCAACATTTCTGATGCTTGTCTTACTCTTATTTGCTTGACTTTTGAAAATTTCTAGGCTTCTGAGTTTAAACGTGATATGTTATGGTTTTTTTTCTCCCAAGACAGTGTAACTGCTTTGGAGACTTGCCTCAGTACTGTGACACTGACATTTAAGTTACGTCTGTAGTTAGGAATTGACACAGGCTCTGAAGTCTATGCATGTGGTAAAGTGGAAAAGAACTATTTGTATGAAGTTTTTAAAGGGTCTTTCCCCATGTTTATCTCTCTTTCAGGTTTCCTTTTCTTGATGAAGATGTTGTTTCATTCCTCAATTCTCTGCCCATCTCAGACAAAGCTGACTTGACTTTACCTCGAGGAATTGGTGAGAAATTGATTCTGCGCCTTGCAGCCAAGGAGTTTGGCCTTAGAGCCTCAACCATTTTGCCGAAAAGAGCTGTACAGTTTGGATCTCGGATTGCAAAACTAGAGAGCAACAGTGAAAAAGCATCTGACACATGCAGCAGACTGAAGTTACTTTCAGTAAATGAATTATAAAGCTACATCTTGAGATGTTACATTTATTCTATATGCAAATTCAGTAAATCTTTGGCATTTTCTTAGAATGTTTGGTCTGGTTTTTTACACACTTGGACATTATTATTAATCATCAAAGTAATACATGTAGATGTGTACTTGTATTAGAGACTCACTATGAGTGCATCCTCAGGGGTCGGGGGGGGGGAATACTGAGCTCTGGGGAGGAGAGGATAGCCAGAGGTTGGCTTTCCCACCCTTCCTAACCGATGTCAATGTCGCAAAAAGCATATTGAATCTGTCCAATCTGTCATATATATTGAATTCAGTACAGTAGATTTTCCTCTGTTGTACAACAGGGCTGATCTTGCAGCTGTGCTTTAGGAGAGGGTTCAGGTTGTGGTTTTAGAAGGGAGGGCGTGGTGAGGAGCTGGCCTTGCTTGCCAGAGCCAGAAAGAGGTGAGGGTCTTGGGCCTTGTCACCCCTTGGAGATCTGCTCTCCAAGCATCATGCTTGCCCTTTCATTACTTGAGAAACACCCTTGGTGTTTTGGGGCCATCCTGTGCAGCCTTCCAGTCCTTGCCTTGGCCAGTTCTGCAGGGCTGGGGTGGTTGGTGGTCCCCAGCCTGGGGCTTCCTCTGCTCCCAGAGAAAGCGGGAAACTCCCTCCAGGCTGTTTTTTGTCTCTCATTGGGTCCCTAGCTTGCTTCCTCGCCTTTTAGCTTTAGCTTTCCTACTTTCAGTTCTGAAGTTGCAAAGCATCCATTGAGTACTTCAAAGAAGATCTCTTTTAAATAGAACAAAAAAGGTCTCTCTCAGGGAAAAAAAAAAGGCTCTCTGGGTGAGTATGTAGATGTAATCATGGATTTGAAATAGAAATATGAATGGACTTGCTCTGAAGAGAAGCTTGAGTTAGCTTGTCTTTCTACTTGTCTATGGAAGGATTGCAAAGTTAATGGAAGAAAAACTGGATGCATGCTCTCCAGTGTTTTTGGAGCTTGGTAGTCCTTACAGTTACTAGTAATGCTACATTACAGTACGCTACATTACATGCTACCTTACAGTTCTAGTTTGTATGTATGCCCAATTAAGTAGAGAAAGGAAAAATTATATCAGAAAAAAAAAATCATTTTTATACGATGCATAATATATCTATTCCTACAACGTACCTCTAACCAGATTTTCAAAATAATTTGTTAAGGTTGTACAGAAATACTTACTAAAAAAACTTATGTTTTGGACTACTTCAAAGCACTGGCAGATTTCTTACTGGTACTGTGAGGAAAACTGACTCCCTGGTACCTTACCATGGGATGTTTGCAAGAGTTCTTGCATGATGTTCTAAAGCAGGTGGAGATTGGACCAAGAGGAACATTAGGCTGATAAAATGTGACTATTGTTCATTATTTGTTATCTCTCTAGTAGTGTTGGAGTGTTCCTAGAAGCTATGTATCACCTAGGACCCTAAGAAAAAAAGTTGTGCTTTTTGTACTCAGGCAAATAATTTCTCTTCCAAACTAAGAGGCCTCTGATATTTAGAGAAACATAAGAAATAATTTTGGAAGGCTTCTAAATAGTTTTAAGTAGTGCTTTTGCAAAGAAACCATATAATTTGGTGTTGGCAAACTTTTCCATTTATCCAGTTATTCATAAGAATTTATTGTTACTATTTATAGTATACTTACTATTATTTGTAGATTTTCTTGACCGAATGTTTGATTCCAGGGTGGGGAGGGAGAAGATATTTTAAAACACTTGTTGTATTGAAATCACATTCTGTAACATTTTAGAGCAACCTCCAGGAATGTTACTGTCTTTTAATCTTGTCCTTAAGAAATCTCTTTTCTTGCAAATGCTATATAGTTCTTGATTAAATAATATTCTCTCTCTTTTTTTGTTAGCCTAAGAACTGTATTTTAGAAAGTGGAGAATGTTCTTGAAGAATGTCAGGCCTGACAAAAGCGTTCCCTAGAGCTGAATAAGCTGACAAGGCAACCTGCTTGTCAAATTCAGTAGCACAGAAAAATGCTGGTGCCGTGTTTGTGAAGTCTGACAAAAGTAAGTAGCAAGAATTAATTGCTTCCGTGTCCTCTAATTGGCTGGCTTCAAAAGATGATATAGAGTGCTCAGTAGAGATACCCAGAGAGAGACTGCTGGGCCAGCTAAAAAATTTAGGTACCCAGACAGCAGCTTTGCTAGCACTGATGAATTCAGGTATGCCCTTGTATTATTAATAAGTCCATCAGATTTTGTGAGAATTGGCTGATGGAATTTGCTGTTTAAATCTTCCATCAGTTCAGATGCAAATTACCATCACAGTACTTCTTGTCAGCTTTCTCCAGCTGATATAAAAACTGGACAAATTTTGATCAGTGTTGACCACCTGGTAAAAGTTTGGGGCATACATACTCAAAGAGAAATGTGTCTGGATCTTGGAGTTTTGGTGCTTTGAAATGAACATTGATAGAGATGGGAAAACCCAGACGGAAATATTTTTTTGAGTTTTGTTCAGGAGGCAAGGACAAAAACATTCCTATTAAAAAAATACCTAATATTGCATGTAGTTTATACATGACATTCCTAAAAGCTGAGATCATTAGTTGAAAAAATAGATTGTTGGATCTCATGCAAAATTATAAGCTGATATGAAGTACTGTAAATTAACACATTTCCAAAAGAGCTTAACTTCCACTGTGATACTTAATTGATCAGATTTTCAAAAGTCCTCAGTACTTGGAAGCTCTCTCTAAGAATAACAAGAGCTCCAGGCTTATGAATTCTTCAAAAAACATCTCTAAAGACACATGCATATATTTTTTTCCTAAACTTTTTACATAGCTTTATTTATTATTATTTGCTATGTCTGTATAATGAAGATTTAAAATTAGTTGCCTTGCTATATAATAAATAAGGTGATGTTAGAGACAAAAGAATCTTTTTATTTTCTAACTTACATAGAACTAATAATTCCCAGTCTATTAGTAAAAATACTGTCAGGTTATAGATGCAACAGCCAAGTGCATCTGACAAGTACACTTTTAAAAATTAAGACAAGTACACTTTTAAAAAAAATTTAAAAATTAAGAATAATGTTTACATTTACGTGGTACAAAGATATTTTTATACAGGGCAACGATAGTGTTCTAAAATGTTTCATTTGACCTTGTAGACTTTTGTACTCATTCCTGTTTTGCAGGTCTAATTGATACTTCCACTAAACATGATTTTTAGGGAACCTATGATGAAAATATGAATGAAGATCCAACTTACAACCCAAACAGTACAAGGGGGGAAAAAAAAAAGTCTTTATGCAATATGCTGATAATATGCTATTTAAATTGATACTTGGCACTACTGAGTTGAGCTACATGAAAATGTATTTAGGCTTGATGTGGTAAATAGGTTCACCAATGTGGTAAGATCAACAGAGACCTACTAAGGTACAGTAACGTACCAGACTGCAGCAGAGGTTAGCTAGCTCTTCAGCAAAATCTTCTGAAGAAACAATTAGAAAAAATCATAGCTATCTGAAGGAATTGAGAGTGCCTCAAGTCAATGAACTCTGATTCCATTTTTACTGGAGTTTAAAAAGATGGAAATCCCAAATTTAAGTAGATGTCTTCGACCATATTCTAGTAAGAAAACTGTAAATTTACTGATTTTTTTAAATTCAAATTTGACATTGATACTTTTATATCTTCTAGATATATCTTATGATAATATGTTTATATCTTTCATATATTAAATACTAAATTAACTTTATAATGTTTTAAGCTAGTATCATATTGCTATTTCTAAAAAAGAAAAAAACTTTTTTTTATATCTTGTGGAATTAAAACTGAAAGAGAACTGCCACTGTTTGGGGTTTTTTGGACCAAATTTCAAATGTTTTCAACATTTTCAATATGCACAGAATGAGTATTTTTATGTCCATGGGGGAACTGAGTTTGATGTTGGTACTCCATCAGTAAAGGATATTTTATTAGAGATTATGATTCTAGTTTGCTGTCTCTCTTGTAACGTATGCATGTGTATGTCTTTACAGCTAATAAACTATGAGAGAATATTTTACTTTGTTAAAATTGGCATTGGAGATAAGGAAAAAACATGCTTGCTCCAGGAGTTAATAGGTTTGTCTAGACTATGTTGTTGCTTGGTTGTCTAAGCAGTTCTTACGGACCAGGCTAATAGAGAGTTCAGTACTCATTTCTCAAATGAGTATGCTATAAGAATATTTGCTGCCAATACTGAACTGTACAAGCTAGCACAAGATACCGTAAGGACAGCATTCCCCTAAAAGCAGCATGGCCTTTAGGTGGCATTTCAGGATGTACAGATACTACAATAGTAGTCTGAAGAACGATCAAAACAGATTCACCTGAGAAGGTATAAGCTGTTCCCTGAGGGATGTTTCTCATTAGATACGGGTTTAAATTTCCATGACATGTGCAAATGATCTGTATAAAGAGGCAAAGCACTTTTAAACATGAAATCAAAATTGTACTTCAGCGTCCATGTTTGCTGATCATTGGTAAGGCTTGCAAAGCTGTAATTTGTATCAGTCATTTTATTGATGTAAGCAGTTAGGTATTGATGTAAACAATCCTTACAGCTACTTTAGTAGCTACCTGTCGTGCATCAGGCTATAAGGCTCAGTTGTTTGACATGGATATGCCAGGTAGAGAACATTACCCCATTCCAGGGATGGAATTTGATGGTAAGAGGTAAGGAATGTGCGCACTAATATAGACACTACAGTACTATAGTCTTTAAAGTAATACAAGTCCTTTCTGATTTCAGATTAGCAATACTTACCATTGCTGAGGATACTATGAAGTTTGAGAGGAATAAAGATTTTTGTAGCTTAATAAAATGTATTTTGATTCCACTTTGATTTTTTTTTTAACACATTAAATTACAATCACTATCAAATACTAGTTAAAGTTCTGTACAAGTAGTACCATTGCTGGCAACAGATAGGGATGCTGGCTAAATATTGTGCAATCATTTATTTTGTATAATGCAGTTCCTTTTTCTGGGAATAATGAAATAGAAATTCTGTAGAAACAAATGGAAAAACATTGTTTGTCAAAACAAGAACTTGGGTTTTTTGATGCTTTAAATTCAAGCATGTGAAAACATCCCTACAAAAGCACTATAAACCCAAGGTTTAAATTGTAAACAAGCAGAGACTGTGGTTGCAGGGGTTTTTATTTTTCTTCCCTTATTTGAACACTGTAAAACTTTAAAAGGTCTTACAAGAGGCAGTGGTTGTATTATTTCAAGAAAACTGCTCATCTTGCAATAGATAGATTACATTCCAAGTAAATGTTTTCAGTTCTACTAACTACTCTAAAACTTATTCAAACGTATTTCATGAAGACAGAATTTCAAGATGAAATTATTTTTAGGTTTAAAATCTTACCAATGGCTTGACTGCTATGGTTACTGAATATACCTTAAAAACAAAATGACTCCTGAAGTGATATAAAATGATTGTGTTCTATGGGTTTCAATAATACCCAGAAGGTTTACAAGCAATGAGGTGTATACATTGTGTACATTATAGCAGTGTAGGGCTGCAAGGGGGTCTCCAGAGGACATCTAGTGTACAGCCTTGTTCTGAGTGAAGAATTAAGTATTTGCAGAGCATTCTAACAGTTATTTTAATACGTAACATGCAGCGATTGAGGAATCTGTTTCAATAGGTAACATGCTCCATTACTTCCCTTCCTTCAAATAGAAAGCTCTTCCTAACAGTTTTTTAAGAATTTTCTGCAAATTAAGCTAAATACTTTAATCCTTCCTGCAATGAAGAACAACTGAACACTGGTTTTAGAACATATTTTAATAGACTGAGAGTTCTTCAGTATATCACCTTCACTGTTTTAGTCAGCCTCTTAGTGCAGCAGAAAACCCCAATCGTGTATTTCTTGTCTCTTATAAAGACCAAATATAGGCCGCTCTTAGCACTATGTTGTTGGTTCATATTAGATTTGATTCCATTACAGCCTTACAAATCTACCTCATTATTCCTAGGTGGTTATTTTGTATTTGCTTGTCTTTAAGTGTACTAGCCATCTGAATTTTATTTTGTTGGTTTTGTTTTAAAAAACAAACAACAACATATTTGTAAAAGTAGGTTTCCAGAAGTGTTAGCAGCTGTTTTCGAAATGGTGTAAGCTACAATTTCTCCACTTCCTTTTGCACTTTCAATTTTCAGCCACAAATCAAAAAAAATGTACAGAATGAGACATTGAAGCAAACCTTGCAGGACCTTTTGTGTGTTCTGTAATCACAGTTCATCAAAAGGCCATCAATTACTCATTGAGCACAGATTTTCAACCGTGTAATCTGTTTTATTTGATTTACTGAGGCCAGGAAATTGTCATGATAGGATTTCTAACTCCTTGTTACAAGACATCTCCACTTAAATATTTCAAAGTGTCTTTAATATTACTTGGGGCATTGTTCCCATATACTTGTTTTAGAGAGCTTTAAGCATTTATTTAATTTAAAAAAATCATTTTTTGCTGTGTAAACTCTCAAACGCTTAATTGAAGTGAGATAAGCATAATAGTCATCTGTTAACTGTATTTGTAGTATCACACCAGAAAGTTTCTGTGCTGTTAGAATCCAGCTCTCTGGTCCAAACGACAGTAGTTTTGGGAGGCTTACTGGAACCATGCCACCTCCACTTCATAAAGCTGCATCCATGATGGGAAATCTCTACTGGATTTTATCAGCATTTATTGTATCACAAAACACCACTATTTAGGGATTTCTTCCTCCTCAATGTTCGAAAAGTTTGGAAGCAGGGAGAAACTTCTGAGCAGCAAGACTGACTGGCTTGCTGATCCCAAGGAAGGTATGACCAGCACTACAAACTGGGCTAAGTGAGAGATCAGGTGTGATAATACAGAGGAAAAAAGGTTTTGCTCACTGTTAAAATTCTAGTCTTTCATCTGTGTTGAAATCAGTGAGCCAGATGTATAAACATACTGCTGGATAGGGCCTATGAAATAAGATAGTTGAATTTATTAAATGATGTATGACTTTACCAAGGAGATAAACTACTTAATGATATAGATAAATTACTTTACCAAAAGATAAATTACTTGTAGTTGAAATCTCATGAAAATGAGACTCCAGAAATGCTACATAACAAAATGCAAATACTATGTAGTCTTCCAATGCTTTCTGCTCAATGAGGGATCTCAACCTTCTTCCAAAAATCAAGTATTGGAGAAAAAATAGGGCATATACCTTGTTAATTTGTTACATCTTGCCCTCGAATAAAAAAAAAATTAAAAAAATCTTGAAAAACCCAGGCAACTTGTGGAGCAACTGTCCCACAAATCCCAATTACTTGTTTGTATTTAAATTGAGGCAATTTTAAACATATGCATTATGAACTTGAAAACTTATTGAAGAGGTGCTTAATATCTGAAGTATTTTTTTCAGTAAATACCATTGCAATGAATAATAATGTAAAAGTGTATTACACCAATTATCAAAAGGCAAGGTCAAATAACCCATTATTCACATCAAAACTCAGAACTTGCATCTTAACAGCTCACTCACACTGTGATTACCCTTACTGAGCTGTTTATAAAAAAAAAAAAAGAAAATTAAAACACACTAGCCCTATACCCCAACATTTTAATTTTGTATTAGTAATAGGCTTCTCACACCAGCAGCAGAAAATCAGGTACCACTGAAATTCAGTCATACTGGCACAACTAACACACTGAGATCTTAAAAAGCTGTGCTCTCTTGTGTTTACTTTCTGTAACTTTTCAATCATGGCAAGTATGAGGTTTTTTTAACTTGTAGTGTAAATTATAAACCTTATATGAATTACATTGTTAAATTATAATAGGGTATATATTACAAATACATAAACATTATTATAACTTATAAAGTGTTAACAATGGAGATATTTTCACTTGTGCAAGTTTCTGTTTATTAAAAAGAGCACTTTTAGTTTAATTTTTTTTTTAATCAATACCTGGAACTCTTAGACATTTGTAGAACAGTAACTGTAATCATTTTGGTGATACCACACAGCACTTATTTCTGACAGGTGATTATCAACATTTGTAAACTACTGTCAGCAAATGTAACAGCACTGAAACAGTTTTTATTGAACAATTATAGTTGCATTTACTTTACTAAGTTACTTTTTAAGATGCCAACCATCGTATCTTCTTTTTTAGTTTTGGCACCTTGATGGAATCTTCTTCAACTCTTTTTGAAATATCAATTCCAAGGGGAGCTCTAGAAAATAATAAAAATTATGTATTTGTCAAAAATAAGTAACATTGCCATATCGCACAGATGTGCAGATTCACAGTTTGTTTGTTTGTTTGTTTTACAATGAGTATGGGAGTCACAGTATTTTTGCAGATTCCCTGCACTGTTAGACTGTGACCATTAAAATGGTCCATCTGAAGCCATACTTAGAAACATCTTTACATTGAGGAAATGTTTGCATTTGTAGACACTCCAGATTCAGGAAACACACCTGTAATTTCAAAGCCATCTTTTGGGGATGTTGTTTTATTTAGATTCTGATTTTAGTTGATAATTCATTTTACACCACACTGATGAATGCAAGACACACTAGAGATTCACAGGTATCTCTTTCTGTGAGAATCTTAAAGAATGTATAGTCTACAGCAAATAAAACTTAGTATTTTATTCACCGAGATATAACACAAGTTATTTTTGAAGAAGAGTATTTTATCATGTGAAAATTATAAAACAATTTATTTTTTGTCCTGAGACCTTCCAAGTCTGTTTTCCTGAAAACGGAAAGGGGAAAAACCTGAAAAAAATTTCATGTTTCAGAGCAGCTGGTATTTTTGAAATACCAGAATTTTGTTTGGCCTTAAGCCTAGGATCCACTGAAATCCGTAGAACAAGTCTTACATAACAAGTCATGAAAAAAAAAAATAAAAAATCAGTATTATCAGATGTTACATGTTAAATTCTTTTTTAAAATTGATTGCTCATTATGAATTCACAGTTTGACTTGGAGCATTTTATGTCTACAGTGACTGAGAAGCTAGGTTACGGCTTATGTTGCTCCAGTTTTCCTGTACCACAATGGTAACAGGAAAATACATAGAACTGTTATGATGTATTGTAATTTAAGTTTCTGAGCCAAAACCAACATAAATGCCAGACACGATCATTTGTATTTCACAACTACATTGAAAAGCAAGTGCTGGTAACTTTTAAAGCTTATGCACTGCAAAGACGCTCCTCAACAGCTTCTGCTGCTCTTACTAGTCTAGTCTCCTTCCACTTTCACTGACCATAGTGAATAAGTGAAGAAATAGACTGTGAATTAATTGAGTCACTTACTTCGGTTCATAGCGGATGCCATCAGTACTATGTAAAACACCAAGTCCTGCACGTAGCCTTTCAATGCCATTCCTAAGCAAGAAAGCAATTATGCAAAAATGTATGTCATAACTATCTGAATGTATGTTTGTGGTTCAGTCACCATAAACAGAAGTTCTCAACTCTGATGTCAACTTTTGAAGAACGTTATAGAAACGCATGCAAAGAGAAAAAACTCTTACCATGCAATCATAACACCATTATCGGTGCACAGTCTTGGAGGAGGACACACAAAAGCAAAATCATTTGCATCTGCCAAAGCCTGTAGACCTTTTCGGATATACTGATTACTTGCAACTCCTCCTGATACCACCTGACATCAGTTTCAAAAAGAAAAAAGGCATTAACTGAAAAGTACTGACAGGTCACACTCAACCAAGATCCTACTTTAAAAAAAAGGTTATCAGATAAAGTTCTGAATAGAGCAATAAATAACACATTTGAAGATGAAAACATATCAGAAAAGAATATGATAAATGAGCTGCTTATGCCAAATGAGATTCCTGAATCAAAGCATGTTACAACTAGAACAGCTGTCAAGTATTGAGAAGCACTAGGTCAAATTATGTGGCTTCACTTGTTATGGAAGGTCAGATTAGATGGTAAGAAAATATCTTTCTATCTTAAAACCAAACTATGAAAGACTTTATTGTAAATATTTATTACTATTATTTTAATACTAGTATTTTAACAGTGTCATACGTACTGACATCTTCCTCACCTGTCAAGGGAGAAAGCACAAGGCATCTGCATCTTCAAATGTTGTTACAGTTAAATATAGAAAAAAAAAATAATGTATACCCACCAAAGTTGCATTTTTTGATGATAATATGCTATTTTTTATGCAGAACAGCATGGCTCGATAGGTCCGCTGGATAATATGAACAGCCACTGCGTGCTGTACAGCAGCAGCAATATCCTTAGCACAGGATAGGATCTCACCTTCTTGAATACCTATAAAAATGTATGACCAAATGGGTTTTCCTGAATACAGGTCATCAAAAACATGGTTTGTATCTGACTTTGTCTGAAAATACCTTCTTCTTCTTCTTTTTGTTTAATGGCTTTATTGACATGGTTCTGAAGTCCAGAAAAAGAAAAATCACAATTACGATATTGTTGCATGGGAAGTCTGAATGTGTGCTCTTGCCGGTTTCCAGTTTGAGCCAAGTGCTCTATCGCCTTCCCTCCAGCCATGCTGTGGCACTCTGGGTGCTTTCTTAAAGAGAGTCTTCTTGCTACCTAAGGAGATAATAAGCAACAGACTTGGAATAGAGAGCTCAATTAATTCTTCCTGTAACTGCATCACTGTATGGTAGTCCACAGAGTAAAACAGACACCACAAAATCCAGTCCAGCATGAAATTACAAGCAGGGCACAATAAGCACAAGACATATGCCGGCTCGATTTCCCCCCCGCCCGCGGAGTAATTAGAAATGCAATTCTAGAACAATTTGGGCAAACGTGAGGATCAACAAATTTTGCAGGAAACAGTAATTACCCAATTTTTATGCTATAGGAAACGCACATGGACTGCCATACTGTATTACCAGATAAACAGGAACAAAATTGGTTTCAACTTCCAACAATCCTCTTTCTGACTCCACTCCCACACTTTTTTAATTAATACACACAAATACTGTTTAAAAACTCTGCTTGTGTTTGAAAACAAAACTGCAAGTGACCAATTTTACAAATTATACTCAGTGACCCAGAAAACGTAGATAATTCTGAAAGCCAAAGCAGGCTTTTCAAACTGTACAAAAAAACTACTAAGAAATGTTTTAATATTTATTGTTTTAAACCTGACAGTATCCTTTAAAATATCGCTATCAATCTTCTCAAATTCATGCAGCTCATTTGTATAACAGGTGTCGATGAAGCTTCCAACACCAGTTTTGGTTATGTTGTCTATTAATATAATTAAGTTACACACGTTACAACTGATGTTATGCATAGATCTTTAACAGCCTCTTTTGTCTTAAATCTATGGTATTTCAACATAGACAAAAAAAAGTTAAGCAAAGCTTATATTGCACTGCATTACTGTCCTCAGGCTGATGACAATACTACCATTATGTAGTGTAACTGCAATAAAAGAAAAAAAACCCTAGATTCGCTTACATAAGGAAGCATTACCTTATCCAGCATGTCCCCCGGTGCTATGTCTATGGACTGTCCAAGCAGAAGGAAATCTGAGACTCCTTGCGCTACTGCCAAGATGCAGTGGCCTCCAGAGAGTAAAAGCACTAAGAAGGGAAATTCCACGTGATGTGTCAACCTGATGGTCAGTGCGTGAGCCTCCATGTGATGGATGGGTATGAACGGCTTCTGGTACTTGTCCACCAAGTTCAAGCTGTACTGCAGCCCCACTTCAAGGCTTAGCGCAAGTCCTGGCTTTACTGTAGTTGCAACAGCTGCAAGTTCATGTCCAGAAACTCCACTGACACCAAGGGCCTCTTTTACTACTTGCTCGATGTTTTCTCTGTGAAGTTGCTGTGCCACCACAGGGATTATTCCACCTGCTCTAGTAAAAACAAAGAATTACAATACATTTGTATCTCATAACAGATAGAATGGCATAAATATAGAATTTAAACACCTTTTAACCTTGTCATATCCTGCCCGTTTCCTTAGTACACTCTCAAATGCTGTGTAAAGGACATCTGTATGCTGAAGAGAGCATAATTATTACTGGGAAGTCAGAAAAGGATGTAAAGTTGCCCTTTTTTGGTATGCATACCTCTTAAATGTATCTCAACACTGTTCCAAAACAATATCTGTAACTTCATATTCACAACCCCTTACTTGTCAGTTCATGTACTTAGCCACCAATGCCTATGTTTGATTAATTTTCCCTTAAAAAAAAATTGACATTTGGTGGGTTTAAGAGGAATAATGATTTAATCTTTAATTCAAGCTAGGTAAGTCATCTGCCTCTTTCTGAAAGAGGATACTGCAGGAAACTTGTTAAATGCACAGCATTTCTTTCTTCACCCTTAGTAATATCTCAAACAGCATGGGCTGTGGCCCAAGGGATAGGTCTTTATACCGACCCCCTTCTTACTGAGTTTTCTGGAGGAGAGAAGACTTTTATATGGATAATATTACAAGTAAGAATAACAATAAAATCATCAGTAAGGCAAAAGCCCGGAGAGAAGTACATTCTTACTGTAAGTGGACTTCCTTCTGGCAGTGCAGCGCTTCTCCCAGAACATTGCCGGCATCGTCCACCACAGCAGCGCCGGTGTCATCGCAGCTCGTCTCTATCCCCAGAACGAGCCTCCGAAGGTGCCCTCTTCCAGAGCTGCTGCTTCTCAGCCACGCTGCTCGGCCACGTGTAACCGATTTCAAAAGGCTCTTGGCAATGCTGTTCATTGTTTAAAATCTATCTGGTAGTTATGTCTGGAAAAGAACTCTACAGTTTATTACTGCTGGAGGGTTTTCAAGCATGTTCTCTGGTCTGGTTTTTCTAAAGAGGTGGTTCTAAAGTTACGAATGACCACACAAGACATTTAAGACGCTAAGAAAAAAAAAAAAAA